TGCAGCTTTAAGACACAGTATCGTTATTTTCCTACAGAGGTTGTATGTAACTCTGCTCCTCCTACACAGAGCAGAAACTGCACTGGCAACGTGCGATATTTGATGTTTATGAAGCACCCCACAAATGGTGCATAATTAGAATCATCTTAGCCAGGGTGCATAATTTCTCCAGCTCTTACTTTTCAAATTGGGGGAGGGTGTATTAGAACCAGCAGTAACAACAGTTTAGAAGAAATGAGAATTTCAGCCACATTCCATCTGTTTTGGGTACTTTTACATCCCATTGATTTCTAGAGGCTGATTTAAGCACATGCCTACATCATCCCCGATGAAATCAATGGAATTTAAAAGCGCTTCATAGGCTGGATTGTGTCCTTGCTGGTATTTGTAAAGCATGCCAATGTTGTTTCTTGTGTTTGGGGATTTGTTCCAGCGCCACAAAAGGAGATGGATATCTTCAATTCCACTTACTCGCCTATCCTAGCTTTGCTCCAAAGTTAGCCGTGTCAGCACACAGAAAGCTACCTTTTCAATACAATCTTTGCAGGTGAATATGTCGGATACTGTCTCTCCATAGAAGACCCACACCACTTTGCGCACAAAGATAAACAATACTCACAGAGAAGGTATTAAACAGGTATTGAATACAGGACTTGGAACAACACGCTACATTAAACTTCACAACCTTTGAATGCAGGCAATCAAAATACTCAAGATTTTAAATACAGAGACTACAATTTTCTGATTTTTGCACACCTATATCCAAAATTCACACTTGGTTCTTTTCGCACCTGACACATCATTCAGTGTTAAAAGCTTTTAACTTTTCATCAGTGTTATTCGACAAGATCATTTATTGAATTTTAATAAACAAGACCAGCTTTGGTCACAGGGGCGGCCAAATTGCCATTCCTGGAGTTTCGAGAAGCGCATTAGTGGTGGCAAATTTTGTAAATAGATGTACTATAAACACGGCAGGAACCAGACAGTCATTTCCAGTCTTCCATCTCTGCCCTGGGGCTGAAACAAGATTGACATTGATCCTGATCCTTGAAGCTGCACACTGAATCCGCTCACAAACTACGGGGGAAAAACAATTACCAGCCACAGTTGTCCTGTTAACTGTAGCTGATCAGACCGCCATGTTTCATATTCTCTCCCGTCCCACTGGCAGTACCAAATGGCTGGATGCACGTCATTATTGTAGGCACATCACCAACGAAGGGACACAGGAGTGCCGCTCTGCCTTACGTGCCTTCGTGAAGCCTGTGTGTGTCTAAAGTGCCACCAAGTTGTAGCTAACTAGTGGCGACTGCATATGGTTTTCAAGGCACAGGAGGAAGAGGGGTGGTTGGCCACTGCCAGCCTCTACGTGGCAACCCTGGACTTCCGTGGTGATCTCCCATCCAAGTACTCACCAGGGCCGACCCTGCTTAGCTTCTGAGATCTGAGGAGGCTGGGCAAGCCTGGGCCATCCAGGTCTGGGCCATTAAGCCTCTAGGAAAACTGGTATCTGACTACTCATCTAAACAATGTGGAACCATGAGAACAGGCTTCATTCATCTGAAAAGTCAACATTACAAAGGCCCCGGTCACACGGGGTGGATATCGCCGGGGGGGGGGAGGCGTGGCTGTTTGCCCCGGAGCGAACTACCGCGTGGCCGCCGGATCAAACATCCAGCCGACGTCCCGTGGTTCAGGGGGAGGTGCCGATCATACGTCAATCCTGCGGCGCGGCGGGGGTTGTGTTTTTTTTAACCGAAGTGTGCGCAAGCGCCGTTGGGTGCTTGTGCACATCCCGTGGAGACGTGGGGAAAAAAACCCTTTTCGCGATGGGACATGGGCGGGTGGCGGATGCCACGAGCTACCACTGGAAACGTGATCAGACGCCTGCCCTTGCCCTGCGGTTTCCGGAAACCAGTACCTTGGAGATACTAGTTTTTTACGGCGCATCCTCGGCGGGAAGCCTCGGGTGAGCCACGGGAGCTCTACGCTTCCCAGATGTTGCGGTTTGATCGCGCCCGGAAAATCCGCCTATCTTCCGTCTCTGTAGCGTGGCTAATGCTCCGTGTGGCCGCAGCCATAATTTGTTTTATAAAGAATGCTAAACGTTTCACATAAGGTTTAAGACCCATACCTCTCCAGGGTACATCTGGGACAGGCTTCCCAGTTGAGGTGCTGGTTGTGATACCAAGCATTCCCCCCCCCCCCAAAAAAAAACGCTTGGGAGGTTGAAAACTAGGCTTTGGGAAATGTGGCTGAAAGGGCTACTCTCAAGTCACAGCCAACTGGTGACTCCCTCATGGGGTTTTCAAGGCAAGCAACAAACAGAGGTGGTCCGCCATTGCCTGCCTCTGCATACTGACCACGAACTTCCTTGGTGGTCTCCCATCCGAGTACTAACCAGGGCCGACCCTGCTTAGCGTCTGAGTTCTGATGAGATCTGGCTAGCCTGGGCCATCCAGGTGCTAGGGAACTAGGGAAGGAAACTAGGGAAGGAACTAGGGAAGGAAAAATAGACTGACCAGGAATAATCAATATTCACAGACTCTACCTACAAGCAGTCCTGCTAAGGATGAGTTCTTCAGAGTACCTCACTGGTCAGCAGCAGCTATCCAGAAGGAAAGACAGGCCCTTCCTAACTTCACGGGAGTTGTTCTAAATCCACTAATCTGCCACGGGATACTTGTGGGTGCATAAGATTCTGAGGCAGATCTCAGGGAGTTCTCTTAGCACATGTAAGCGGCTCACTGACTTTTTCACAGTTTGCAACTACTGCTCTAGGGGTGTGGTCACACGTGCGAGATAAACCAGGGGGGAAGCGAGGCTATTCCCTCTGGAGGAATTTGACCCGCAGTTGCACGATCACACAGTCCTTTGAAGCTGCGGGGGCAGCCTGTCACTGCGTGGTCAGACGCAACCGCGGGTGAGTCGGGTTCCCCCCCCCCTTTGTTTCTGATTTGCTTAAACGGGGAATCGATGAATCGCATCTCGGCACTGAGGGCTCCCTATGGAGGGTGCGATGCGCATCCTGAGAAGGGGGGAAAAAACAATGGCACGGAGTCGGGATGACCTGATCAGACCATCCCAACACCATGAGAGCGCGCCGGAGCGATCAGACAGGGGAAAGTCCATCCGTGGCCCGTAGCAACCCATTTGCTACCGGACTTTCCCTAGGGTCTTTTTACTCCGCTTCTGTGACGGAGCAAAACGGGTTGCCGACGGGCGCAGGGCGCTTCCCAGATGTTCGTGTCTGATCGTGCCCTTTAAATCCCCCCGGCATTCGCGCCTCTGGTGCGGCTAATTGTTCGGGTGATCACGTCCTAGGACTGCCAACTCCAAGTTGGGAAATACCTGGAGATTTGCAGGAGTGGAGCCCGAGGAGGGTCGGGTTTGGGGAGGGACTTCAATGGGGTATAATGCCATAGAGTCTATTTTCCAAAGCAGCCATTTTCTCCAGATGAATGGATCTCTGTCGGGTGGCGATCCCAGCCACCACCTGTAGGCGGGGAACCCTAGTGTGCCCTGGAATCTCTTCAGCACTCTCTTGTAGTTATGCAAGTGCTAGAAAGGTTCAGCAATAGAAGATGCTGTTTTCTAGGGAGCTTGCCCACCATTCCTGAACGTCTCATTATAATGATCACCCTCAGGGAAGACGGTCTGGATCACAGATTTGGCCACCCCTGTTTTGTAAATACCTGCTTTAGAAAATGGCCCAAGTTTGGCAATGCCGGTTCCAAAACCATGTAAATACCTTCTCGACCAACAAGGCTAAAATCAAAGGATCACCACTGTATTTTTTTTTAAATGTACTCAACATAGCTGAAACAGTTAAACTTTGTTTAAAAATCAGGAAAAAAATGCACAGAAGTTATGAAAGCAGAGATGCTTGCAAGTGAATATTCCGCATGCCTAGAAGCACGAGATCAGTAAACAGGAGCGGTGCTAGAATAAAAAATCAAGCCACTATGATTTTTCTTTCAGTGACGGTAAAGTCAACTGAAAGTTTTTGTTTTAATTTTTCTTCTTCTTTCGTTAACTAAAAAAACAAAACAAAAATGGGAATGTCCAAAAGGGGAAAAAAAACAAAACCAAACAAATAAAGCGGAACCAAAAATTAAAAAAGAAAAAGAAAGAAAAAGAACTGTAGACATTTGATATCTTTTCTTATAAACATCCTACCCAATAAATTTTGTTCCTTGAGGCCCCAGCTGCAGGATTCGGCTAACCATGCTCTCTCCCTCATTTAGAGGGGGAGGATTAGCGGGCAGGTGCAGTTTACTGAATAACATCCATGCAGCAGGAAGAGAAACAAGAGGGGAAATTAGGAACAGGCTGTCATTCCCAACGGAACTTTCCACCGGGGACCACGGGGTGGAAGTGAACAAAATTTATCATCAGTTCAAGATATAAATAAATAATATATATTTCTGTACCCCCACATCATAGTGGATTGTTTCCCCTAACGTTAGCTTTTGGGGAGAGAGAAAAAAAAGACTGCTGTCGCCACTTGTGTTAGTTCAATGGGTCGGATTCGATGCTACAAAATTCGCATTTAGTCGTTCGTTCTTCCCTTAGCCAAGGCATGCAGCTTTCGGGAATGAGGGAAGGTTTGGCGTAGACTGCACAACTGGGAAACCGATGGCGTTTTGGAATGATTTGGTGGTGGACGTAGAATTCAACATGGCTTCCAAACTCATTTCATTCTATACATTTATGCACCTCCCTTTGACATCACTGGAGATGAATCAAAAGCAACAGAAGAGGAGAATTTTAGTAGTTTTCATTAGACTTCGTATGCCCATAGGCAGAATTCTTGTTGATGATCATAGAGAATTCTGCCTAAAATAGAACTGCAGATGAGGGCTTTTTTTTAAAAAAAAAGGAACAAAGGCCTACCTCAGATTAAGCTATTTAAATAGGCAACAATTGAGAACGGTAAAGAAAAAGGTTACAGATGCAATATGGCCGCCGGCAATAGTATTTGAAGAATAACTCACCCTAAGAATTGTGCACCTGAAGGCCCCATTTCCACCAGTCTACTAGCCAATCCTTCTCCTTCAACCATTGGTGGAGGGCTGGCCAGTTTGTGCCTCTTTACCAAGCGGCAGGTGATGCGGGTGGGTGCCGTACATTTTCGTGGGGGAATGATAATCCTCATGCCATGGTGACGGCTGCCCCTCATGGAACCTCCACGAGCATCCACCATAAAGCTAACCAAAAAACTGTGTGGACAAACAAGAAGGAAGTCATCTAGAAGCCGTGAGGTTTTTGTTAATGTACAACCATAAATGTCAACCAAAATCACAGTGTTACAATGAAACCAGTGATGATGAATATTTAAAAAGTCACGATACACACTTCCATGGCACAAAGTATACAAGTAGCATGACTTCTCCTTATGAAATTGTAGTAGGCATACAGTGCATTCCTACCGCACCCTTTTAAACCCATCAGCTTCAATAGACAAGGGTATAACTCTGAGGAATGCATTGATAATCAATTAACACACTTTTGCATAGCAAGATTTAGTTTAAAAAATGCTAGGTCAAATATTATGGTTAAAAAGTGTGCCTTTGTCTACTGTAATTAAATTATTAGTGTGTCGTCCATGCACTAATCAACTACGTTGAACTACTAAACATTTTGCAAATCCCTGTCCTTCAAAGAATTAATATGACATTCATATGAAAAGTTATTATGAAGGTGCTTTAAAATTTCTTTGTAAACGAATCCATAGTGTGAAGACTGGGGTTTTCAAGTTTTTCATCGACTTTTTGGGGCCATCCAGAGACCTGCTGGATCAGACCAACGGGTCCATCTAGTCCAGAATCCTGTCTCACAAAGAGACCAACCGGTTCCTCTGGATGGCCAACAACAGGGAACAGAAGCCGAGGTCTTCCCTTGATGTTTCCTCCTGGCTCTGGGATTCAGAGGCTCAATGCCTCTAAATGTGAAGGTCACCATGGCTAGTAGCCATTGATAGACTTATCCTCCATGAATCTATCTAATCCCCCTTTAAAGCTCTTTATTCCTGTGGCCATCACTACATCCTCCATAAATCTATCTAACCCCCTTTTAAAGCTGTTTATTCCTGCGGCCATCACTACATCTTCTGGCAGCAAATTCCACATTTTAATCACTCTCTGCGTAAAGTAGTCTTTCCTTTTGTCTGTCCTGAACCTACTGCCCATCAGCTTCATCGAACACCTTTGAGTTCTAGTATTTTGGGAGAGGGAGAAAAAATTCTCTTCGTAAACTCTCTCCACCCCATGCATAATTTTATAATTTTATAGACGGCCAGACATTAATGATCAGTTCTCATAATTTTCTTTTGAAACTTAAAAGTGGCAGCAGAGGGTGGGGGGAACTAGGTAAGAATGTTGGAAATGGGGTGGTGGTTTTGTTTTGTTTTTTTAAATGCTTTCCCCATGCCGTTTTCCCAACCTAAAATATACTCTTAACCACAAACCTACCGTTGCTATTTTCAGGGGAAATCACACGGGTACACATAGCAGCTTAGAAATGTGCAGAAGCAGAATGTAATGGAATCAAATCATCAAAGTTTCTAGTTTCCATGTAAGAAAGCTATGCTTTCTAAAGTCCGTTTTGGGGAACTCTAGGTTTTCTTAGATGTTTACCAGTAGTTCCACAATTAGAAGATCAGTAACGGAGGACAAGCTTTGCAGAAATATTGCTTACCCACTATTCCCAGGGTTTCCTTGCAGTGATAAAGCTGTGATGGGAAAAGTGTTTTGGGGAAGATGCTCAGAGATTCTTTGGAGAGATTTCTTTGAAGGTTGTAAATCCAAAAACCACTGAACTAATGTAAGAGCTAAAATAACCACCACCATTTCTTTCTGTGTTCCAACACTCCGGTGGTCTATAAATATCACCTACAACATAACCAGGAGCTGCGGTGGCTCAAGTGGTTAAGACGCTGAACTGCAGGCCGTGGAAGGTCAGTAGTTCAGCAGTTCGAGACCCGAGTTGCCGCATGATGGAGTGAGCTCCCATCTCTAGTTCCAGCTCCTGCCAACCTAGCAGTTCGAAAGCAAGAAATTGCAAGTAGATAAATAGGTACCACTTCAGTGGGAAGGTAACAGCATTCCGTGCGCCTTGGTGTTTTGTCATGCCGGCCACATGACCACGGAAACATCTTCGGACAGCGCTGGCTCTTCGGCTTTGAAACGGAGATGAGCACCACAACCCTAGAGTCGGACTCGACTGGCTTTCGAGCAAGGGAACCTTTACCTTTACCTTTACCACATAACCAGAGCACTGTAGAATTACAGTGGAGGCTTTGATATTGTAACACCAGGCTCTACACATTTCTTAAGGTGATTGTCATCATGAGGGCAAGAAGATACTGTAAGAGCTGACGGCCTTGAGGAACACAGACTAGAAAGCCACCGGTTATACATGCTAGCCAAGTGTTTGTTGGTGCACCTTCCACACTGGCTAATGTGTAATGAAGACCCTAAGTGCCTGCAAAGTGTTCCCCTTTCTTTTTAACGATTCCCAACCACAAGAGACGTGCCCTGCCACTAACTCGAGATTCAGAACCAGGAGTCCACTGCATTTATCCTACAGTGCGGTGTCAGATATTCTGATGTATTCTGGTATTCTGATGTAATTACAATAGGATGAACCCCCAACTAGCATTTCTGCTGGTGCAAGTACTTCTACTTATGGGCTGAGATTTCCCGCAAATCCTGTTGGGGTTCCCATGGGACAGGGGACGGGGAAAACTGCTCCACAAGCAGAAGTCCTTGTGACCGCAGGAACGCTAGTTGGGACTGAAGCCAATTAATGTAACGACTTTACAAATGACTTATCCAAAGATGGCATAGTTTATAGGGTGCCATCTCTATGGCTGCTGGATCCACTGTTAGGGACAGTTGTGTAGCTATTGCTATGACAGCTAGATCCCTCCTGACAACTGGCAGGGGATGGAGGGGGGGGGGCCTTACCAGGAGCGGGAGGGAGGCTCAGGCTATGCTACTAGTGATGTGAAAATGTCAGTTCCAGTGTGTAGCAGAAGTGACATCATCATGCTGCACCATCACCGTGACACTGGTATTTGGGCAAAAACTCTATGATAAAACTCTGAGTTCTGGGGGACTTCAACATCCATGCCAATGACATTGTCCCCTTGCAGGCTATGGGTGCAAGTACTTCTACTTATGGGCTGAGACTTCCCCCAAATCCTGTTGGGGGTTCCCATGGGACATTGCCGGCTATGGACCTGCCGTCATCCACAGCAGCACTGGGACTCTCTCAATTTGTATCAGCTCCCACTCATCAAGCAGGTCACATGCTGGATTTGATTTTTGGAATGGGAATAAATGTGAACTTAGACACTACTGATGCAGTGCCATGGTTGGACCACTTTGTCCTGAAGGCTTGTCTGAATATCCCAAGTCCTTTAGAATGCTCTATGGGATCCGATGCCCCCCGGCCACTTGTTAGATGGGCTGGTAGAGGATTGGCATAGCACACTCTCTGAAGCCATCGACAAAATTGCTCCCCGATGCCCTCTTAGTTCTCATTCCAAATTAGCCCAATATACCACGAGGTACGGAGGATGAAATGGGAGCTAAGATGGCTAGAGCGAGTATGACGACAAACTCGTGATGAAGCTATTAGAACAGCTTATAGGATGTTTATGAAAGCCTATGAGGTAGCAGCGAGAGCCACAAAGAAGGAATTCTATGTGACTTCTATTGCATCCGCAAACTCTCGCCCAGCTCCATTATTTAGAATAATTAGGTTGCTTACTTCCCTCTCTCAGGGTAACCAAAAACATAGTAAACTGGCAATTACCTGTGAGGCTTTGGCGAACTACTTAGCAGATAAACTTCTGATTCTGCTAGAGCTGGCTCAGCCCCAGACAAATAAATGTCCTCAAGCCAGAGGTCATTTCGGGGGGGATCGCGGGGGATCGCAGTTCCCCCGGGTGAGGTGCAGGGGGCGGGGCACATGATGAAGCCCCGCCCCCTGCCTCCGGCCGCCCCGCTTCCGGCCCTCATTCAGCCAGGAGGAGGCAGGAGAAGAGGGAGGGTAAGTTGCTTCCTCCCTGCCTCTCCCCACCCCTGCCTGCCTGGGGCCAGGGAGGGCCTTTGCGGGGCTTCCTTGCACTCCCACCGGCCTTGCAGGTCCACCGCTGGGCCTCTCATGGGGCTCGGCAGTGGAGCTGCAAGGCCGGTGGTGGCGGCCGGGACCGTTGGGGGCGGGGTGTGTGGCCTTATGACACACTTCTGGTGATGTCAGGGGTGTGTGGCCTTATGACACACTTCCGGTGATGTCAGGGGGTGTGGCATATGCTAATGAGTTATGCTAATGAGTTCCCCTAGCTCTTTTTCTACGAAACGACCCCTGCCTCAAGCATATCCCTTCTCTTCCTGCTCTACAAGGAGAAGTAAAGCATTCTGCTCTGGTAATGTTGGCAAAGTGTGCTCTTGACCATTAGAATGGTTGACCCAACCCTCGCTTAGTGGAGGTGCGTCCACAGGACGTTCAAAGTATTACACTTCGCCCCACCCATTCTCTAGGACCAACGTTCCCTCTAAGATGTGGAGTCTTGTGAGCAAAAATTCTGCTTTGTGAGCTACTGGCATTAAAGTTGTGAGCGAGCAATTTGGCTACTGCATAAATTAGTTTGCTCTGGAGCCATCCTTCCTGAGCGAAGACAAAAATGTGTGAGCTGGAGGCTAAAAAACTGTGAGCTAGCTCGCACCAACTCAGCTTAGTGGGAACACTGTCTAGGACCCTGCAATGGTTTCACTCCAACAAACCTGCCCAGCATAATGCAGAACTATATTGTTTAGAATTTACATTTTAAAAAGTTTTTCTTCTGTCTTTGTACTTCTCATTCGCTGCTTTCTCCTACATGGGACAATGCACTTTTCAATGAGCTTCCACAATCCTTGTCAAGTGGATTTTCTGTTTCACACAGGAAATTCCGGTTGCAAATGACTGCTGAAATGCATTGAAAGCGCACTCAGTGCATCAGCCAACGCGCGTGAAAGCAATCTATGTGTGTGAATCCACATACGCTCTTATTATAGGAATGCACACTACTCAAAGGTATTTGTAGTGAATATTTTAAGGGGTTATGGAGATGGGGTGGGTGTTCGCTGACCACATTCTGATTCTGCCATTCGCCCAGGATGTGAACGGAGCTTAAATTGTTTCATTGTACATCAAAGCAGCACAGCGGTGA